TTGATGGGACCCCGACGGGTCTTTAATAAAAATTATCTATCTATCTAACTATCTATAACATAAGCGCTAATCAAGCCCACTGATTTAGTTGGCTGTGGCGGTTTCAAAAGTTTCCTCACTAGTCATATTCGGCTATTTCCATGCCAAAAGGTATCAGTAGCATAGTCTACATACTCATCAATCCCCCATACCAACTTAACACAATAACAGTGGCACTCAAGTAACAGGATTGCGTAAAACTATCCCCATTAATTTATATATTTGCGTGAAAATAACTGATCCCAAGCATATATTTAAGTAACAATAAAAGTAGCAACGTTAATGTGTCAAAGTTCATGTTATGAGCCTTTAAAAGAATACATATACAACAAAGGCTGAATGGGCAGAACGTGAGATACTAAAGTCAAGGCGGTTGTACGCCTGGAAGGAAAAACTCCCGATGAATAAGCAAAGAGATTTTGGGCGAGTCGAGTTCCTGCTCATCCCTTGTAATTGGCAACAGAGGGCTCATTGCTGACACTTAATGGTGGCTGGCGCTGGACTGCATGGTAGTTCTGGTCGTAGGGGGCTGGTGGTACGGATGATAACGTAAGGAAATGACCGAATATTACTCACTTAAGTGTAAATAGTCGCGAGAGCGGGAAAAAGTCGAAGTTTGCTCATCTTAACGATGGGAAGTTGTATAACCTCGTCGGCCTGCCGACACTTTGCAAAGACGACTTATGAACCAACTGCGCAGATGTCTTTTAAAATTGAATGTCCACTGTGAATCAACCGTGCAAAAACTCGGTGCCTCGGTGGGATTCGAACCAAAGACAGCAAGGCGAGGCTTAAGTACAGCAACGCTGAACCATCTCAGCAACAAGGTCACACCGGACGACGCGAGTTTAATCATATTTGGGTCAGGTTTACTCCATCCAAACTTCTACAACGTCCGGGATCCACCAAATCTGATACAGGAAACTGACAGTTCAAGCAGGATTTCCTAAGTAATACATCTGTAATCCACCAGATGACTACCACGCTCAAGTAATTCAGACGTGGGACGTCGTAGCCCAGACGGTTAGAGCGTTGGCTGTAATCAAGCCTCCCCTCGCTGTCGCGGGTTCAAATCCAACCAAGGCACCGATTATTTTTACAGTTGGGTCAGTAATTTATTTGCAAACAGCCTAACCAAGTCTGAAAATGCAATGCGTCAAAGTGCGTATTTTAACATTTGAATGTTGGCCATAACCTCTTTCAAAACGTTAGTATTACATAAACGGGACTGAAGTAGTAAATGAAGAAAGGCATTGAGATCTGGGTATGTGAACGATCACAAACTCATTACCATCAAAACATTGCATGACAATGGTCCAGAAGGCAACTAGTACTCAATTGTATGTTAAGCTGCATCTAAAATATTTCATGTTAAAATATTCAAAAGAATTTTTGGGCATGCTTATGAGACTTCATCTTGAACATTAAATGCCAGCAAATGCACTATGAATAAGGAAGAATACTGACCTTATCGAACAGGCGCAACGGAGATAAACGAATACACTCGAAAAATTAAGTATCTGTTCTACCAGGATAAGTTGAATGGCCTAATGTTTCCGCATTGTCTTGAAAAGCAATTAAGCTGTAACCTTCTATTGGCATTCCTATGATATGTCGCAACGATTTCTTGCTAAAATTGGAGGATGTCTTCGAGTTCGCTGCACACGGCCACCCCCACAATGTCAAAAATGAACGCACGCAATTAGATCGCAAAAACGTATCCTTCAACCTGCAACGCATATACGTATAAATACAACTGCATTGCTTCTGTACAAAGCGACGATTTCCTATTTCAGCAGAGAAACAAACTACAAAAACTATACATTACGGATGAGCCCAGCAGTCCGCGGTCTCATGGAAGCCATTTAGAAGAAATTAAACAGCTGCGCGAACGGGATCGTAAAGCAGGGATCCAGATGCCGTGAGGTTGGGATGAGGGCAAACGATCAGCACGAATGATAGGCTTGTTTACTGTCAAAGAAAAAACGATCCCCGAAGGGTATCCGTTACAAAATAAATGCGTACATTCGGAAAAGTCAATTAGTGCGTCTCGTGATTGCTATCTGACAGTAGATCATGCTGAAAAGTACTGAGCACCCATAAGTCGTTAAAATGTGGAATCGCACACCACCGCGCATTAAGAAGACACCCTAAGGAGCTCTTGAAATTTTGCAGTTGGTATGGACTACGTTGTGTACTATCTGAGATGTATAAGTCGACGTATGCGCAGGTACAAAGAAAGGCAAATGAAGGTTTCACGGTGTAAAACACTCATAGTTACAAATGTTCAAAAGCGAAATGTGGCCTATGTTGCAGTGCAAAATTTTAATAATACGTGGTTTGCTAACAGAGGAGTGGTAAAAATGTCTTTCAGTGAGTACGAATGTCAATTTACCATTTTCAAGTTTTACTATGAATA